AGGGGAGGAAAGCAGCCCCCATTAAAGTGGGTAACAAGAAATCAGTAAAATTTTGACAAATTCTTTTTTTTTGTTGCTTTTTGGTTTTTTGGTTTTTTAAAAAACATTTTTATATATAGAAAAAGAGAGAGAAAGAGAGAGAATGCATGTGCATGCAGAGGAAGGGCAGAGAGAGAGAATCCAAAGCAGGCTCTACACCATCAGCACAGAGCTCAATGTGGGGCTTGAAATCATGAACTGCGAGAACATGACCTGGGCTGAAATCAACAGCTGGATGCTCAACCAACTGAGTCAACCAGGTGCCCCAAATTTTGACAAACTCTTAAAAACAAATATGGGATACAGTGTCATTTTGGAACAGGTTGTAGCCCCAGACACAGAGACACCACCAGGAAAACCAGGGTCATGCCAGAGCTTCCTGTTTCTGACACAGGCACTGCTGGGGCACAAAATGAAGCCAGAACTCTTCTTTGATGGGAACCAAACACCCTGAAATGCTGAAAAAAAGGCAATAAAGCAATGGAAAAAAAAAATCTCTTGCTTCCAAGGAAGGAGCATTCAAATCCATATGACTTTGGAAGAAGGACAGAAAACACTATTGTTACCAAGACAAAGATCCATTGCTTCAGGAAGAGAGGCAGTGGCAAAAAACCCATTCCATGGGTGGAGCAGAAAACCCACCGGGCCCAGGATCCTACACTGACCCTGCAGGAGGAACATGGAAGTCCCGTTCCAGACCCGGGCTGGCTTTGGCTCGACTGGGAAGGAGACGCAGGGACACCGGGGAGCGCAGCCCCTGAGGCGCAGGTACAGAGGGCCGCCCAACAGTGAGGGTGGGCCGTGAAAGCAGAACTCCCTTTGTTCCCCCCATTAGCCTGGCACTGAGTAATAAGCATCAACAACTACTGCTGGGGGAACATCAAGCACATGGAGAAAGGTTCCCCTCAGAAAGGCAGAAAGCCGAGTGGATCTGGAACACAAAGAAGAACCCTCCAGGGGCACCTGGGTGGCTTAGTTGGTTAAGCGTCCGACTTTCGCTCATGTCATATCTCACGGTTCGTGGGTTCGAGCTCCGCGTCGGGCTCTGTGCTGACTGCCAGCTCAGAGCCTGGAGCCTGTTTCAGTCTGTGACTCCCTCTCTCTCTGACCCTCCCCTGCTCATGCTGTCTCTCTCCTACAAATAAATAAAACATTAAAAAAAAAAAAAAAAAAAAGAAGAACCCTCCAGCTCCCAACACCCCATTCTAAGCATTAAGAAAAACAGACCTTGAATTTGAATTCACAGATGGAAGAACCTGACACCTGTGGTAATGTGGTGATTTGAAGCTGCTGAAGATGATGAAAACAGTAAAAATCCCAAACCAGCTCAACTGCTGATGGCTCTGAGTTGACCCCACTAGCAGCACGATAAAAAACATGTGCCCACTTCTGAGCATAAATGCTATTTGCTTCAGTCTCTACTGTGTTTCCATAACGAATCACTAAAAAAAGAAAAAAAAAAATGACATACAAAAATTCAGGAAAAAAGACCCCAGAATCAGGCTCCAAGATGATACAGATGTTGACACTATGAGACAGAGACATTAAAATAACCATGATTAAAAATCACAGAGACAGAAATAAAAATGGAAGGAAAGATGGGAAGTTACTGTTTAATACACAGAGTTTCAGATTTAAAACATGTAAAGTGTCATGACGACAGATGGTGATGGGGCGCCTGGGGGCTCAGTAGGTTGAGCTTCTGACTCTTGATTTCGGCTCAGGTTACAATCTCCCGGTTCATGGGTTTGAACTCCAAGTCCAGCTCTGTGCTGACAGTGTGGAGACTGCTTAGGATTCTCTCTCTCCCTCTTTATCTGCCACTCCCCCTCTGTTGTTTTCTCTCTCTCTCTCTCTCTTAAAATAAACATCAAAAAAAAGATAGATGGGGCACCTAGATGGCTCAGTTAGTTGGTTAAGCGTCCGACTTCAGGCTCGGGTCATGATCTCACAGGTTGTGAGTTCGAGCCCCAAGTTGGGCTCTGAGCGGGCTTTGTGCTGACAGCTTGCAGCCTGAAGCCTGCTTTGTGTCTCCTACTCTCTCTGTCCCTCCCCAACTCACACTCTGTCTCTCTCTCCCTCTTTCTCTCAAAAAATACATATTAAAAACATTTTAAAAATAAGATGGTGGTGTACTTAAATTAAATACATCATGAATGTATTTAATACTACTAAACTGAACCCTTAAAATAATTAAGAAGGTAAGTTTTATGGTATATGTATTTTATCACAATAAGAAAAATGAGGGGGATAAAAGCTAGTATAAAGATATATAAAAAAGTCTTGAATCTTAAACGTAGTGGTAGTTTCATAAAGCTACAGAGATGATAAAATTGCATGGAACATACACAAACACAAAGTTATTGTAAAACTGATAAAATCTGATGGGGCACCTAGCTGGCTCAGTCACTTGAGCGGCCAACTTCAGCTTAGGTCTTGATCTCATAGCCCGTGGGTTAGAGCCCCACGTCGGGCTCTGTGTTGACAGCTCAGAGCCCAGAGCCTGTTTCAGATTCTGTGTCTCCCTCTCTCTCTGTTCCTTCCCCATGCTTGCTCTTTCTCTCTCAAAACTAAATAATCATTCAAAAAAATCTGAAAAAGTTCTGTGAGTTTTACTAATGTCAATTTGCTGGATGTGAGAGTATACTCTGTCACACTATCATTGTCACAGGCTGGATGAAGGGTAAGTAGAATTTCCTTGGATACTGTTTGTTTTTTTTACAACTTCCTGTGAATTACAATTATTTCAAAATTAAAGCTTTAAAAATATGTGTAATGGGGCACCTGGGTAGCTCAGCCAGTTGAGTGTCTGACTTCAGCTCAGGTCATGATCTTGTAGTCCATGAGTTTGAGCCCCGCGTCAGGCTCTGTGCTGACAGCTTGGAGCCTGGAGCCTGTTTTGGATTCTGTGTCTCCCACTCTCTCAGCCCATCCCCCTCAGAAATGGATAAATGTTAAAAAACATTTTTTTAGATATGAAATAACAGATGAAATAAGATTAGCAAAATACTGATAATTGTTCATGCCTAATGTGTAGCTGCAGGTTAATTATTCTATTATTTCTATATATAAATCTATATATATGTCTATATATATATATATATATATGAAAACTTCCAAAATAAAACACCGAAGAGAAAAATAGCCATATTAATAAATTAAAAGATGTAGTGGAAAAAGCTGTACAAATGCATTAACAAATGGGAACTTTCGGTAGAGAGAAATTAAGGATCAAATGAAAATGCTAGAGGTAAAAAACATGACATTACAAGTGAAGAATTCCTTCAAAGGCTCACTGGTAGGAGGGACTTCACCTGAGGAAAGAATCTGTGAACTTGAAGATAGGGTAACAGAAAGTATCCAAACTGAAATTTAAAGAAAAAACAAAGAGTAAAAGACATAGAATAAAGCATCCAATCCCTGAGATAATACGCCAAATGGACTAATATATGTGCAATTAGCACTGCAGGAGAACAGAAAACAGGACTGAAGATTTGAAAAGTTGTGGATGGAATTTTCACACTAACACACCCTAGAAATAACACTGTCAAACTGGGGAAGAAGAAAATTAAGAGAGAGGTTTGAAGGCAGCTCCTGCCCCAAAATTAACCCTTACAGCAGACTTCTTCTCAGGACCTATGTGATCCAGAGGAGACTAAAGAGTATCTTCAATGATGTGCGAGAAGAGCGGCCGCCCCAGTTATCAATGGTCAACAACACATTCCTGGTTTCCTCCCGCATAGGTGTTCCCTGTCCAATCCCTCTGGCAAGACCGTCTCTCCACCAGAAGGCCCACCACTAGTCCCTCTTCCATTCCGATTTTCTCCATAGTCAATCTCCTGAAGTCCAAGGCTTTAACTTCTACCCACTGACTGAAAACTCCGGGGCTCTGTCTCCTGCCTACACCTCTTCTGAGCTGCCTACTTCCTATTTTTACTTCTGTGTTTCACGGGCACTCAACATGTCCAACTGAAGTCACAATCTTACCTGCCATGAATCTCTTTCAACTTTCCCAATCTCAACAAATGCAATCACCATCATCAAGGAGCGGTCTCCTGATCTCTCCCATTCAGCCAATAATTAATTCTGCTTCCTAAATATCCCCCAAATCCAAACCCATCCAGCACTGTATCTCAGCCACCATTACGATAGTCCAACCTACAAATTTCCCTGCTTGATATTCTCATAGGCTAATCACTGACCATGCTGTACTTACTACTGTCCCCCTCAATCCCTTCTCCCTGGGGCATCCATAATAGTTCTTTCTAGGATGTCACACACTCTTCAAGCTCTGCCTTAGTAGCTTTATGCTGGTCTCAGGACAATGATCAAGCTCCTCATACCAAACTCCATGTAGTGTGGACCTCACATACTTGGCGGCCTCATCTCAGAACACACTCTCCAGCTCACCCCCTGCTACTGTCAGTTGCTCACAGACAGCATGCTCCATCTTTGCAAACTGCCCATGCACAACTACTCTGTCTAGGACCTCTTTGTTAGGTTACACCTACACATTATTCAGATGTCAGCTCAATTTTCAGGAAATGATTCCATGTTCTTCCTGGAAGTCACATTGCTGCTGTATGCTTCAACAGGCATTACCTAACTCTCCTCTGTAGCACTGAGTGCAGCCACATTTTTAGATTTATTTCCATAATTAACTTATGACTTTACCAATAGGCTATAACCTCCAGGAGTTATCAAAGATTCTATCTGTCCTTCCTCACATTTTAAAGCCTAGCACATAGGTAATGTATAATAAATTTTTGTTGAATAAAAAAATAATATGAGAATTCAGATTTAATATATAAGCCATATATATGAATATGAATATGAGCTATAATAATGTTACGCTTTCAGAGATATTTTGATATTTACTTACCAAAAAAAAAAAAGGGGGTAAACCTAAAAATGTAGAGTGAAAACAACCCTTAAAAAAGTAAAAATTTGCAATATCTTACCTAGACACAAATTCACTTAATTCTGAATATTCGGTGGGCTCCATTATTATGTTGAGGTCAGTAATAACTGAAGATAATCTCTCCTTATTCTAAAATTTAAAAATAAAGTTTATATATCAGATCACAGTAAACATGTAAATAAAATAAAGGCACAAAAATAATTTTAAAATATGCAAAATGAAATACCACCAAGCAATAGGAAAAATTAAGAAAAGCCACTGAAAATATTGGTTATTAGTTAAAGGAATAAAATCAGATCTTTATTCCATACCAAAAACCAAAATGAACTCCAAATGAATTATTTCAATGAACACTAAGACCATAAAATATTAGCAGGAAATATAGACATTTAACTGATTACTGAGTGAAGAACAACTTTCTAAGAAAACAACAGGATAAAAAAAAGGCAAATATAATGACAGAAAAAAACTCAGTATTTTTTTAAACTTTATTTCTGAGAGATAGTGAGAGAGAGAGCACACATGACTGGGGTAGGGGCAGTGAGAGGAAGAGAGAATATCCAACATGGGCTCCACGTGGGACTTGAACACATGACTGTGATATCATGACCTGAGCTGAACTCAAGAGCCGAACTCTGACGCTCAACCAAGTGAGTCACCCAGGCGCTCCAGAAACTCAATATATTTATATTAAGAAATGACTTTATAAATAAAAGAGAAAGAATACCCGCTAAAAATTTTTTACTAGTAAAAAGACAAACCTAAATTAAACTAATGAGATAACACTTTTACCTATTAAGTCATTTTGACAATGCATTCTTTAAAATATGCACATTCTCAGGGTACCTGAGTGGCTCAGTTGGTTGGGTGTCCAACTTTGGCTCAGGTTCATAATCTCATGGTTTGTGAATCTGAGCCCCATGTCAGGCTCTGGGTGGACAACTCAGGGCCCAGAGCCTGCTTCAGATTCTGTGTCTCCCTCTCTCTCTGCCCCTAGCCCATTCACACTCTGTCTCTCAAAAATGAATGTTTGAAAAAAACCTTTTTTTTAAATATACATATTCTCTGTACCAGCAGTTTGACTTCAAGAATCTATCCTCAAACAGTAAGAAGTGAAGACAAAGACTTATGGCTACCTATTACAAAAATGTATTTTGATCTGTAAATTCAGGTTTTCTCCTTGACTCTAGTAAACTTTGCCCTATTATATACTTGCCTATCATTTCTCTTTCACTTGTTTCTATTCTTGCTTTTGCAAAAGTCATATATGGACCATTCAAGGTCTTCCAGATTGTTCTTTTCACTTGCTCTTACAGGTGATTTTTCTCAAGATTGTCTTCCATATTCAACTCCTGGTCACTTCAGTTATAGTTCTCAGCACTTTAATCATTTTATTCTTCTTTCTCTCATCTTTTTCTCTTACTCAATTTTCTTTAAATGCTTCATTTGATAGAACGGGTTTTATATAGTATGTTTTTGTATTTATTTCCTGGATTAATTATTTCAAAGTGATCTCCATTTTCCTGTTAATTCATCTCATGACCATATGTTTGTCTAAGTCCTAAATGAAGATGAAAAAAACTTGGCACCAGATCTGTGCTCTATTCTCGAACTACTGTGTGTTCAGAGGACTAGATCTAGCAATTTTTAATATTTCCTAGGAAAACAGGGAGTGGATACTTCCTGACACTTCTCCATTTGTCTAGGCACTATCTGATGTGTCTGTATTTTGAGCTGCTGGAGAAATAGATACTGAGGGCTTACAATCTTTGTTTAGTTTTTTTGCTGCCTGAGGATCCAGTGGAAATTGTTAGGAGCAGCTACAGTTTAAGTAGTCTGCTTGTCTGTTTGCATTTACCACCATCTCTCATCCAAAACATAAATTCCAAAGGCACTCTTACAACTCAAAACTAAAAAGATAACGCAAGTAAAAACTGGGCAAAGGATCTCAATAGACATTTCTTCAAAGACATACAAATGGGCACATAGTACATGAAATAATGGCTAACAACATTAGTCATCATCTGGTCATTCCATTTGACACAACAATTCTATTGTTAGATATACACCTAAGAAAAATAAAAACATATGCCTATTTATAAGCTTACACACAAATGTTTACAGCAACATTAACAGTAACAAAAAGGTGAAAACAGCCCAAATGCCCATCAACTAATAAATGAGTAACAAAATTTGATATGTTCACACAGTGGAATAAATTCAGTCAAAAAAAGGAAATGAATGAAGTAATGATACCTACTCTATGAACAAAACCTTGAAAATACTATCTTGAATGAAAAGAGCCCAGTCAAAAAGATCACATACTACATGATTCCACTTAAACGAACTGTCCAAAATACATAAACCCATAAAGACAGAAAACAGATTAGCTGTTGTGTTGGTCTGGGCAGGAGAAAAGGGACTGAGGGATAAAAAGTAAGGGGTTTCCTTTTGAGGTGATAAAAATGTTCTAAAATTGATGTGGTGATGGTTGTACAACTCTGAATATACTAAAATTTACTGTATATTTTAAATGGATGAATTATTTGATATGTGAATTACAACTCATTTGACCTGTTCTAAAAAATTTTTAAAAACCTCAGAGGTACATCTTGTCTTTTGTCTGAGTATGTGTGTTGGATTTTGGCCATTCACCCATTAGGAAAGGCAAATAAACCTTACCTCACCATAAAGCCTATGATTTACGAGTCCGTCCTTATTTATTTATATATTTTTGGCATACTGTGGATTCTGTTCAGTCACTGGAAAGCTGACTTCAACACCCTGTTTCCCCATCTCTCTCCTGCCTGTTGGAGCGCTAACTAGGGCAATCCTCCTAGTAGTTAGATGAAAGAAGGGATCTTACACACCAACCTTACCTCAAAGTCCCTGCCTGGGTCTCTGCAACACATTACTGTCTACCAAGGTTCATTCAATTTGACTCTGTAGTTCTCAGACCTTGGTACAATTTAAGAATTGTGGGTAAACACATTCAGGAAAAGGTCCCATTAACTGCAAAATTTATATACTCCTAATAAAACACACTACATCAGATTTTGATGTTTTCTTTCATTTCGGTTTGAATGTCCTCATATTAGATACATTTTCTTTGGAGCCTATGATATGGGATTATATTCTTTGTGTTTTTATTGAAGTATAACTGACATAGAATATATTTTTAGTTGTATAACATAATGACTTAATATTTGTATATACTGCAAAACGCTCACAATTAGTAGTAATACATACTCATAATGTATAATACATAATGTACATACTCATAATACCCATAATGTTTTTTTTAAAGATTCTATTTTTAAGTGATCTCTGTACCCAACATGGAGCTTAAACTTACAACCCCAAGATCAAAAGTTGTATGCTTGGGTGGCTCAGTCGGTTAAGCGTCCAACTTTTTTTTTTTTTTAATGTTTATTTATTTTTGAGAGACAGAAACACAGAATGTGAACGGTGGAGGGGCAGAGAGAGAGGGAGACTGTGAATCTGAAGCAGGCTCCAGGCTCTGAGCTGTCAGCACAGAGGCCGCTGCAGGGCTTGAACCCACAAACTGTGAGATAACAACCCAAGCTGAAGTTGGACACTTAACTGACTTAGCCACCCAGACGCCCCAAGGGTCCAACTCTTGATGTTGGCTCAGGTCATGATCTAATGGTTCGTGGGACTGAACCCCATGATGGTATCTGCGCTGACAGCAAAGAGCCTGTTTGGGTCTGTCTCTCCCTCCCTCCCTCTCTCTCTCCCTCTCTTTCCCTCCCTGCCTCTCCCATACTCATGCTCTGGCTCTCTAAATAAATTAAAAAAAAAAAAAAAAAAAAAGAGTCACAAGCTCCACCACCTGAGCCAGCTAGTCACCACACAAATTTTTTTTAATAAAAACTTTTAAGATTTAACCACTTAGCTACTTTGAAATGAGCAATTAAATATTAACTATAGTCACCATGCTATACATTAGATTTCCCTAACTAATTTAAAACTAAAATTTTGTACCTTTTGACTCCCTTCACCAGTTTTGTACACACATCCCCAGCACCTTGTCTCTGGCAACCATGAATTGGATTCCTATAATCTTTGAGCCTGGTCATTTTTTCATGTTTTTGACTTTCGGGGATTCTACATATAAGTGAGATCATATGGTATATGTCTTTTTTCTAACTTATTTAGCACAATGGTTTTGTTTGTTTGTTTTTGTTTTTTGTTTTTTTAGTTTATTTTTTTGAGAGAGCGAGTGAGAGCACATGCATGATCCAGTGGTGGAGGGGCACAGAAAAAGGGAGAAAATCTCAAGCAGGCTTTACATTCGGCACGGAGCCCTATGCAGAGCTTGATCTCAGGATCATGAAATCATGACCTGAACCGAAACAAGAGTCAGACGCTTAACAGACTGAGCCACTCAGGCACCCCATGTATCTGTTTCAGTGTTTTTGTTTCCTTCAGATACATACCTAGAAGTGGCATTCCTGGATAATGTAGTAGGTTTTGTTTTGTTTTTTTTTAATTTTGGAAGGCATTCCATTATTCTTTTCTATACTGACTATACAAATTTACATTCCCACCAACAGTCAATAGTACACAAGAGTTCCCCTTCCTCCACATCCTGGCCAATACTTGTTATTTTTTGTCTCATTTATTATAGCTATCCTAACAGGTGTAAATTGCTATTTCATTGTGGTTTTGATTTCTATTCCCTGAATTTTTCATGTACCTATCTGGCCATCCATATGTCTTTGTGAAAAAAAAGTCCATTCAGATTCTCTACCAATTAAAAAAAATTTTTTTTAATGTTTTATTTATTTTTGAGAGAGAGATACAGTGTGAGCAGGGGAGGGTCAGAGAGATAGGGAAATACAGAATCTGAAAACAGGGTCCAGGCTCTGAGCTACCCATCAGCACAGAGCCCGACTCTGGGATCCAGCCCACGAACCATGAGATCATGACCTGAGCCAAAGTTGGACACTTAACCAACTTAACCGACTTAACCACCCAGGCGCCCCTCTCTGCCCATTTTTAAATCAAATTGTTTATTTTGCAATTGAGTTACAGCGGTTCTTTACGTATTCTGGATATTAACCCCATCAGATATAGGATTTGGAGATACTTTCTCTTATTCCAAG